TATCACCAGTAAGAATTAATTCAGATGGCTTTCGAAGATTGTGAAATGATTGGTTCCGAAGTTATCTTATCAAAAAAGTGCGTTTATACCAAGTTAGCGTGCTTAGTTTTGTCTGTTTGACAATGACACAAATGTGGCTTCTGAAATTGAGTCCTACGATGTAGTCAGGCAAGACATCGAGCATATGAGCAGTTGGTCGAATTTTTATATGTTCACACCAAATAGGGATAAGTAAACTTTAATAAATTTTAACCACAAAAACTTTCCTTCCACCGTACAAAGACACTTACCTAAAAATTTTTCGCGAACCATTTTAGGTATTTTTAGTTTATTTTAGCGTATTTTAGGTATTTTTAGTGTAAGTTAGGTATTTTTTGTTCTTCAAACTTAAGAAAATTAAAGGTAAACAGGGTCATCTTGTATTTTTTCTATTGTGGAGTATATTTTCTGCAACATCAAATCAAATATTCAACACATTTTATCCATTGATAGTTCTACTAGCCTTTCGATCTCTAGCCCAATTTATCTTCCATAGAAAGAAAATTCTCGATTGATGTATTCGAAAGCAAGGTTTGACAGCCCTGTAGACCAATTCAAGTTTAGGAGATGTTTTTATATATATGAATTTTCATAGTTTTGCTCACAATATATTCACAAACTTCCTGCAACGGAGTGTCATAATAAATTTTTCAGAAAAAAAGAAACCAGAACGTCTAAAATAAATGTTATGAAATACCTTGCTGTGAAACTAAGATAAGAAGCCAATCATATTAGAGCCGAGAAACGAAAGCAAATTATTGATGTTTTTCCCGAAAATGTGATTCTGCCGGAGAGTTTTCAAAAAGTAACCAAGGACAAATACAATAAATTAGAACATAAGATCGAAAATTTAAGTATATCAGAAAAAACAGAGGTCGTACGGTGCGTGTTCACTGCTTAACTTAGCAGTGAATACTTTTGCTATTTTGCTGTCTGTGTGACTTTGGATAAATCTCTGATTGTTTTAGAAAAAAAAGTTCGTTTGTTTTATTCCCATATCAGTATGGGAAAGAGGTAAGCCGTTTTCGGGTCGTATATGATTCAGCAGACTGCAGAAATCAAAATAAGACTTTGATGTTCTGGCTCTGTAACTTTTCAGAAAAGCAGGCGTTTTTTGCTGTTTCTTTTAAAAAATCTATAAAATAAAAACGTAATTGAAAATTAATGTCTAAAAGAATATTAATGTCTAATGTATATATATCGTGTTTATCTTCGCTCAATATCAAATTAAAACTTAATTTAGACTGGAATGTCTCTTATTACATTTCTCTCAAGAATAACAGCATTAAATATTTTTGAAAGTTTCATAATGGAAAGTTATATTCACCATTCTTTTGAATAGTAAATCAATGTACTTAAAAAAACCAAGTATAATTGTAAATTTTCTGCTGATTTAGGCGAGCTCGTCAGGTCAGCAAGTTACGGCCGAAGATGTTCATAACATTGACAAAGTTTGGCCGGAGCTTGCTCACACTCTTAAAGTTGTCCCGGGTCCCCCTGAAGCGCTTGAGACTGTAAATCCTTACACAAAAAGTGTACTCGGTCATCAAAAAATTATAATCGACTTGATGAAGAACAAGTACAACGGATTACTCGTGAGAGGTCAAAACTTGGAGCTTGCGACGGATACTGGCGAACAGTCAAAAGCCGGAGCAGACGAGCAGCCAGAGAAGTTGAGTAATACCTGCTTTCTGGTAACTGCTCCCAAATTTCAAAAAGTTATCATGATAAAGACAGTCAATGACGTGTCAAAAGATAAATCTGAAGAAACAATTGTCAAGTCGATCGAAAATCAATTTCAAGCTTTAAAAAGTCAACACGGCCTTAAACCAGACGATATTGTTCTTGTTCTATTGGTAAAAAAATTAAAAGAAAGTAAAGAAAAGCTCGAAAAACAATTACCGAAGGAATTGCAACATGAGTTTGGAACAAACATACTTAAGGTTTTACGGGATATAGACAAAACTGCTCCGCAGAACCAGAGTTCGAGAATTTTAAATTTTGTGCGTGATCAGAAAAAGAGATCAGACCTTCAACTTTCTTACCAAATTACGAAAAAAGAGTTCCACTGCGGCGGCGAACAGAAAAGTAATCTTCAGAGTAAAGAGGAAATTAGCATCCTTGCTGAGACTCATTTCCCAAAGCGCAAGGAAAAATTAGTTTTTGTTCCCGACATTGACAAAATTTGTGAAAACTTGTTGTACAAAACCACCAGCGGCGGAACTTGGAAGGAGATAGAAGATTGGGGTTCCTATTACGGCGAAGTTACTCTATTCATCCAGAAGTACATCGTGCAGCTAGACATGCCGACGGGGGTCATGTTGAAAAGTTTTTGCGACAAACATTTCGAGACTGTTTTGGATGCAAGAAGTGAAGTACCTGGCAATTTTGAGATCGATTGGCTGTATTTGGGTCCAAACAAAATAATAGCGATTGAAATCGGGCTATCGAAATCGATTTTTGCAAGATGTGACCACACAGCCTCCTCTGATCAATTAGGGTCGGTAAAAATGATTAAATCCGCTGTTCTGAATAAATTTAGCCAGATATTTACAAAAATATTCCCGCGTTTTCACTATATAATTCACTCACTTTGCAGGTTTTATGGAAAAGAATCAGACTTCACTGGCATACTGGACCGTAACTTCTCAGTTCTGACTATTTTTCCAAATATATCGAAAAAAAAATTTAAAAAAGTCTTAAAAGATGTGAGGAATGGAAAAAAAGAAGAACTGAAAGAAACGCGAGATCTGATAAAAGACAATAAAAAATTACTGGGATGCCTACACTTTGCTTTTAAAGTAGACTTGAAACAAAACTCGTCGACCAATTTATTCAGGCTGAGTGAAGACCTTACTTTACAATCACTTGAAACTTCCTTCTCGCAAAACTTTAGACCTGCAAATTTGTCCAGTGAAAATGAGATGCTTGAAACTATTAAAAATATTTTATCGCTGTCGAGTCTAAATTTTCTGAGATTCGAATCAAAAGAACGAGAAAAAGTTGACACGAGTGACATAGACGATCGATACAGAACAACGTTTTCTTTCTGGAAAGAAAATCAGAAAAGTTTGACCTACAATAGCTTGGATTTTATTTTGAGTCCAGAGCAGCACGCAATTTTATCTGACATTAGTGATGATATGAGATGTGTAGTTCTACGAAGCGAGCCAGGCTGTGGGAAGACATCGCTCCTTCTGGCAAAATGTCAGATACTAGCCGAAGGAGATGAAGTCAGTCGAATTTTTTATGTCGTGCCCGACAACAGAACTATTTTGATTGATAAATTGGAAACAATAATAGCACAATGTGGCTGTGCTGCTCTTAGAGACAAGATTGAAATCAAGCGCCTACATTTGTCAACCAAGATAGAAGACCTTCAGATTGCGTAAGTAAAATTCGAAAGTGTCTTACATTCGATGATGCGTTAATTGCAATCATTTTTCTTTCAATCTTTTATTGCTTGACATTATTTTTTTTTCAAAACAAATGCCGATTATATCTGAATCACTACGTGTTTGTATAGTTTTTTCATCGCGCCACTCAGTAAAAACTACTAGTTTGAAGAAAAAATAAAAGAAAAAAACTTTTTTGGAAGCTTTATATGAAATTTTTCATGACCGCAACCAGCTATTCTTGTTCTTTTTGATGTCTTTAGCAACAGTGATGAAACTTTCGCCCTGATGGTGGACGAGCTCGATTTTAGTCGATTTTCCGCGTCTAACAATACTCGTGACAAGCTGAAAAGATTGGCAAGCAAAGCCAAATACGTGTGGATTGCTTTCACTTTTACTAATCAAGTCCAACAAAATATATATAAATTCATTGAGAACAACGAAACGTTCAAGCTGCAAGAACTCCATGTGATGTTTCGAAACTCTCAGCATATTAGTAAAATCCATCATAGATTCATGCAAATGCAACATTTGGTATCGTTTGCGTACCCTTTAAAACTGTTACATCAGAAAACTGTTTCTGGTGAAGACTCTTCTTTCTCTCCATATGAAAAACCAGTGATTGGAGGATGTTTTCAATCCTCTCAACCTCAAGTTCAAGTGAAGTATGTCAAAGAGCTGAAGGATTGCTTGACCATACCAACTACAGATTTCTTGAAGCCAGAGTTTCGATCAGATAGACTGGCGGTGATTTTCTCCGACAAAAACGCCGAAGACGAAGATAAAATAGACTGGCACACTTATTTTACTTTCCTACAGAACATGCTAGCTACAATCAATGACAGCACTGTCGTCATCGTTTTCTACAATGACTTCAGACGAAGTTTTAGGGACTACGTGTCGTTATTTGGTGGCAGCGAGTTCAAATCTGTGTTGATCATTTGTGATCATTTCCAGGAGAAACCAGCATTAGGGCGGGCAGACGAAATAGACAAAGCAGTTACGCGTGCCCAACTAGAAGTTGGATTTATCGTGCCGGAATCTTTCAAAAAAGAAGAAGAATGGCTGAATTTTATCAGTGCCACTGACGACCATTCGGTTCAGACAGAGTTTTGTCAATTTATATACGGTGAACAAACACTGAGAAAGAATTGGTTGCATCCAAAAATACGCAGTGACCCTGACTACAATTGGCTTCAAAAGAGATTTCTCCATTTGCAATCAAACCCTGATTTGAACAAAATTTGGTTCAAATTTGCTGGCGCTGGACATATAAGATACGCAGTAGAATTAGCCGCAGTAACCAAAACCGGATTTTGTATCAAAAAAGATAGTAAAGATGGACTCACACAA